GCAGCTGCCGGGTGCCGAGGCTGTGCAGCCCTTTCCCAGTTGGGGAACTGGGCTCTGACGGAGTTTGTCTGGTGCCTTCTGTAAGCCTGATCCTGCGTGATCCTGCGCACGGGCTGTGCCCTAGCTAACCCTTGTGTCTGCTGCCCTGCAGCTGCCTGTTGTGTCGGTGGTGAGAGATGCTGAGTCCCAGCTCCTGCCTGATGTGGGGGCCGTGGTGACATGCAAGGTAGGGTGCCGGAGTGCACTGCGATGGCAAACTGCACAGCCTTTGCTCTTTCTGCCTTGTGCTGACCTTTGTTCCTGCACATGTACGAGGTGGGACGAGGAGCCCCGGGCCTCATTAGTACCCCCTGTATGACTCCCAGGAGGGCAGAGGCAGCCCAGAGGCCCTCTTCAGTCCCTCTCTCGCAAAGAAGCCAGGTATTAGCATGGGGGACACCTGCCTCTCAACTTTACCTGCCCTGAGGCTGAGGTGGGCTGAGGGGAGATTTTTCTTTGCTCTCCCTTTCAGAGCTCTTTCTGGGGCAGGGTGTGCTGAGGGCAGTGCTTGGGGCAGCTTGGAGAAAGGGTGGCGCAGACCAGGGATTAGTTTCCTTATGGTCGTGATGGTGGGAGAGGGACTGAGATCACAGCAGGTCTTGGCCTTATTCATGTGTCTTGAGTTGCACAAGTATCATCTTCCTCGCCTGGCTTGCTGCCGGGTCCCACCTCTGCCACCACTACTTTGAAGGAGGAGGAGGCTGAATGAGACACGAGCTCCCCATGTACAGCCCTGTCCTGCCTGCACCCTGCCCTTTCCCTGCCTGGAGCGGGGTGCGCTGGGGTGAGAGCAGGCCTGTGCTGGCACTGATTTCCCTTTTCCTCCGGGCAGGTTTGCAGCATTAACTCTCGCTTTGCCAAGGTGCACATCCTGTACGTCGGCTCCACACCACTGAAATCCACCTTCCGGGGGACCATACGGTAGGGAGAGGGCTGGGTTCCCTGCGAGCCAGGGTGCCTGAGCACCCCATCCTTAAGGGGGGAGGAAGGCTTTTCTGGGCAGTGCAGACAGCTGTCCAGCAGGAGCTCTGCCCCGAGCATTGGGCAGCTGCCCAGCAAGTCCTGGCGAGCGCCCAGGGAGGCTGGGGCACCTCCTGCCACAGGCTGGAGATTCACCTTTGCTCGCTGGCGCTCAGATCCCTCCGTCTCCTTTTTCAGGAGAGAAGATATTCGAGCCACGGAGAAAGATAAGGTCAGTGAGGCGCTGTCAGTGACTGTGCTATCACAGCCGCTCCTGCTTTCTGCTGGTGGGGGACACTTGTCCTGCCACTGATGAGCACCTCAACACCCTGTGTGGTTTTGCCTGCTCTCTCCTGTGCAGGTAGAAGTGTACAAGAGTTTCCGCCCCGGCGACATAGTCCTGGCCAAAGTCGTATCCTTTCCCCTCACGCCAGGAGGGTCTGCCAGGGACAGCGGGTTTGCTCGAGTCCCCTTGGGGAGACCTTTCCCTTAACCCCTATCTAACCAGATCTCCCTGGGGGACGCACAGTCCAACTACCTGCTCAGCACGGCGGAGAACGAGTTGGGTGTGGTGGTGGCACGCAGCGAGGCAGGTAGGGACGGGCTGTGGGGCCTAGGCTCAGACGGTTCTGCCTCATCCCCACCTGAAGGGCAGCCAATGTGGCCTCCTTCCTTCCTTCCCACGTGGAGGAACGTGATTTTGGGAAGGGGAACCCCTGACATACGGTGTCCCTAGGGGTGCAGATGGTGCCCATCAGCTGGTGTGAGATGCAGTGCCCACGGACACACACGAAGGACTTCCGTAAGGTGGCCCGCGTGCAGCCCCAGTTCCTGCAGACCTAGCAGCCCCCAAAGGGGTGCGGGGACCGTGTGGGGCAAGGGGCTGCTGGACTGGGGCCTGTGGGGTCAGAGCAGCCCCTGGGCTCCAGCCTCCTCCACGCATACAGGAACAGCCAGCCAGGCCCTCAGTGGCAGGATGGGTTTTCTATTTTTGGATAATAAATATTTTTTGAGCATTCCATGCTGTGCTCAGTTACAGCCTAGGTCTGGCTCACGTAGCGGAGCCGTTGAGAGGACAGCTTCCCCAGCACTGAGGCCAGGAGGAAGCACGTGTCCCCGCTGCCAGGGAAGGGGAACAACCCAGCGGCTTTGCCGCAATGAGGTAAACGGCACAGAGCTCCGGTCTGCGGCTGGGCGGTGCTTCGCCTCACCAGGCTGGTTTCCCCACATTGGTGTCAAGCATAGAGAACAACTTCCCTCCCAGCCCCTGCACGGATAACCGGTACAAGCTGCGGCTGTGCTCAGCCTGAGGCGCCGCATCTCCTCCAGCCACACGTGCCCTGCCTCCTCTGGGGACAAGGGTGCACCACACCCAGAGCCTTAAAACCACGGAAGAGCAGGACATCATCGCCCTCTCCAGCAGGGATTGCGGAGCTGTGCTTTGCTCCCCTGAGCCCAGTGCACCTTCTGCACCCCAACATCTGTGCCCAGCAGCGACTGCTGCCTCCCACACACGTGACAGGAGCCCAGGGGAGCTGCTGGGTGAGGGAGGGAGCCTGACGCGCCTGAGAGCACATGGCATAGGAAAGCATGGACACCTCGTTATTGTGCATTACTCCTTTATTGAAGTGGAACAAGACAGCTGCTATTGTCGGACAGTTACACTGACCCCGTGCAAGCCCAGGCTCACAGCGCTGGCAGAGGGGGAGGCCACAGCGACAGGGCCACAAACACGCACGTGGGATGGGGCACAATGGCACCTGCTTCACCAGCAGGACTAGGATGGGCTTCAGCTGGGGGAAGTATGTGGCAGACATGAACCTCCAGACGACAGGCTCCCGCCCTCGCCCTTGTCCAAAGGCAATAAGTTAAAGCAGGGGCTGGCAGAGCTAGGTCCAGAGTTGTGAGTACCACCCTTGGGTGCTGTACCACATGCACCAAAATACAACCCTTTTAGCATCTACGCATCCCGGACCTTGTGCCACGCACCCACAAGGAGACAGGGTACCCATCTTGGTCGCTGCCTGCACTGTTTTCACCCTGCTGCTCCTGGGATGACTAAATCAAGCAACAAAACTACAGTAACCGGGTGACGAGAGCTGCCGGGGAAGCAAAGCAGAGGAGCCTGGCACAGTGAGGGAATCGCTCGGCGCGTCCCCCTGCAGACAGGGCCTGAGGGCTGGGATCTCAGCATGAAGAGGTGTGCAGTTGCTGCCTGGCAGAGCCAGGTTCATACTAGACCTCCGTGCCTGGGGCCCCTTGCCCCCGGCCCCCAGGCTGTCTGCAGAGGGGAGCCTGGTCCTGAGGGGAATGGGCCTAATCCTGGGGAGCTGCTTCAGCTCCGCAGCTCCAAGTTGCTACGGGGTGTGCACAGAGGGGTGGGGGACGGCGGGGGGCTCTACTACCTGCTAGCCTGCTGCCCACCCTCACTTCTTCACCTTGCCCTGAGCAGCAACAGCTTCCATGGCCTTGCGCACTGTCTCTTCATCCCCCAGGAACTGCATGGGCTTGATGGGTTTCAAGTTCTTGTCCAGCTCGTAGACAATAGGGATGCCAGTGGGCAGGTTCAGCTCCATGATGGCCTCTTCCGACATGCCTATGAACACAGATGTGCCATCACTCATGGCCCTGCTTGCACAGCTGGGGCAGTGGGGAGACCCCCGTGATACCCCCGCAGGGCTGACATACCTTCCAGGTGCTTGACAATCCCACGCAGGCTATTGCCATGGGCAGCAATAAGGACTCGCTTTCCCTCTTTGATCTGTGGAACAATTTCCTCATTCCAGAAAGGCAGAGCCCGGGCGATGGTGTCCTTCAAGCTCTCGCATGTTGGTAGCTGGTCCTCTGTCAGGTCAGCGTAGCGACGGTCCTGGGGGAATGGCCATGCTCACACAGCAGCCCAATGCCCCCAGCAGTGTGGGAAGGTGGTGGCAAGGCCTTTGTCCCTCCCACAAATTCTCCACCTAAGGACCCGCTGCATGTAGGCAAAGCCAGCCTTGGAAGCAAGGAAGCACCTTTGAGGGTTAAGGCTGCAATCAGCCACAGTTGGGGCTCTGAGCCCCTCCTGGGGAAAGCCGCATGTTGCTTGCTCTGGGCAAAGAGACCAGAGCAAACATCCACACATCGGTCACAGGACTAATAATTAACAGAGGTATCATCCCCTCCGCTTTGAAACTAACTGTACAATGCCCAGGGGCTCAACTGCCCAGGGAGGGAGCCAGACAAACTCAGCCCAACACCAACCAGCACCATGCACAACAGTCCTGGCTACTGCAACAGAGGCAGAGGAGACCTTATAGAGGAAGCCAGGCCACGCTGCAGGGATCTAAGGTGGATTTTAGGAGCCTCCGAGCAAGGCAGACGAAGAGCAATGGGTCTTACCTTGCAGATGGTGCTGTAGAAGGGGTGATCGGACTGCATAGGAGGCGGAGGGATGTCGTACGAGCGCCTCCAGATCTTCACCTGCGCCTCACCATGCTTTGCCGCTGTCTCAGCCTTGTTCAAGCCAGTGAGAGCCCCGTAGTGCCTCTCGTTCAGGCGCCAGGTTCGGATAACGGGTAACCACATCTGATCGATGGCATCCAGGATGGTCCAGAGGGTACGAACGGCCCGTTTCTGTACCGAGGTGAAGCAGATGTCGAAC